CAAAGAGAGAGAATTTGGGAGATGTTTCCATGATAAGATAAGGAGAGAAGAATGGTGAGACGTGGGTTTAATTAATATTAAATGAATAATTAACCCACTGTTTTGTAAAAGAAAATTTTGATATTTGAAAGATTTATATTATAATTAAATTATTATGATTAATATAGAATTAAAATCTAGGGTTCAAAAATCAGATGGGAAGTTTCATCTTTCAAAAATCAGATATATTATAATTAAATTATTATGATTAATATATTATATTTAAATATTATATGCTTACATATATGCATTTGTAACCACCTAACCTGTGATTTACGTGTTTTAAATTTAGAAAACATCATAACTTCCTTATATTTCCAAACCTCCTCCCACGTTGAGTCTTCATATAGCATGACCACAAGAAGTTTTTCGTTATCATCGTATGTCTTCGACAAACTCGCTACCACAGTCAACACGCACATTATCCTCCCACCATATAACCATCAATCTATAAGTATTTTAGTCTTGTGAAGGCTGTAAATCCAAAGATTAATGCCTCATTCGAGCAGTGAAAATTATGAGAAGAATGCAGTCGAGACCTCAGATAGAAGGGGTAAAAAAAAGGTAAAGAAATTACATAAAGTTTCCCCTTCTAAAAGGCACAAAAAAGCACCAGACAAGTCACTGAACTCCTCATAAAATGCAAAATCCTAGTTCTAAGTAGGTAAATCAATTTAGGTCATGGGCAATTTGTTATATGAAATTATTTGGGTGTTTACGGTTCAGGTACTTGTCAATTTTACAATTTGTGACCTAATTGTCGAAAATGTGACTTGAGGTGTTGTGACCTAATAAGGTGAGAGTGGTTACATAATTGACGTGTTATCCTACTTCTTTTTCTTTGATTCATTTTAATCGTCGAATTTGTAGTGTGACTTTATTTTTCATTTTACGTTGTTGTTGGAAAGGTGTTTGATGAAATGTCCGGGTGAAAAAATAATGAATTCAAACTGTGCAATATAATTATGCTAATAAACAACTATTTTTTTTTCTTGAATTTAACTTTGCAGATTCACTGAGAAAGTAGTCTGATGGTAAGTTTGATAGCATGGTCTCAAATAACCTTCCTTGATTATTAATTCCCATTTTATATATACATCTCTCATGAGTACTAATGGCTTTTCTTATTTTCCCCTAAAGCTGATAATGGGGACAATATCACATGATTGCATTATATGGGTTTTGGAATTATTTAATCTTTGTGACCGCCCGTGAAGACCATTTTGTTTTCTTTTGAAACAAACCGTATGTTATAATTAAGTTTATGAGAGTGAACAATTTTGTAAATAGAAAGAATTTAACCAGTTTTTGTGACATATGGTGCTTGTGACTAGTATAGAGGGTGTGACCTTATTTCTTTGTGACCTTTTGTAGAGTATGTGATTTGTTCTTTGTTAGTGTGCTATGTTTGGTACAATATTAGGAGTGTGTTTGTGACATAGATGTATATACAAGAATCAAATACTGATGTTTGTTTGTTACTTTTGTCATGTATTGCAGGAATGAGAGTATGTTATACAAGAAGAATTAAGGTTTTTGAGCAAAACCACAACAAATGCACCAAAAATTTTGTCGTCCAATTTTGCGTCATAGTTCAGTGATGAACAAAAGGATATTTTTATTTGCCTATTTTGTAATCAAAACAAAACATTTCAAGTTTTATCAAGTTCTGTGACGTTTGATTTCATGATTCGTGTAAATATGGATGTTAAATCTGGCATTCATAAGTTTCATATATTCATTTAATCATTTATTTTGGATTTCTACTTAGAAGGACTAGATTATTGGTAAAGATTATTGACATAGATTTTGAAGTCACATATTATTGGCACAGATGTTGATGTCACATATTTTATCACATGTCACATAACAATTGATGAAAACTCTGTACTGTATAAAAATTCATGAACAGATCAAAATTAAATCATATTACAAGTGATAGGACACATCTCTTTCAAAATAAGTCATATTTCAAGTTAGACACATGATATCATTGCCAATATATCTTAGATTATTGGTAAATAATATTGCCATGAATTTTGCAATCACAAATTATTGGCACAGCTGTTGAAGTCATATATTATGGTCACAAATACCATAGCATGTGAAAGAAATTCATGTATAGATTAAAGATAATTTTATTTAATTATTTTATACAGGTCACAGATTGTTTATTCAACTTTCATATTTGGAGTCACATTACATTGTTTACAGTCACAGTTCATAAAAAAATAAGTGATAGATCACTTTATAGATGTATTTGAAGAAAGGGATTCATGTACAGATAAAAAAAATAAGTCACATTATAATTGACAAGTCACGGCTCCTTAAAAATAAAGTCACATTACAAGTCATCACAAAATAGTATTGCTAATAGGTCACAGATCAATTCATGTATGTACCTTAAAAATATATTCATTTACAAATCAAAATATTATGTCACATTTCGAATGAAGATTATTTATACGAATAAACATGTACAATTACATGATATACCAAACACTATGAGGTCACGTTGATAAATTGAGGTCATAGATAAGACCCTACCCCATTTCTACAAATTTCCACAAAAAAACCTAGTCACAGATACAAACGCAAGTCACAACTACTGCAGGTCACAATTACTGAATTAAAGCATATAAAACTACATTTAAAAAATTTACAGCATGAAATCATAAACGTCACATTTTCTTTTTTAGGTCACATATAAACTCTTGTTGGTCATAGTCATTTTATACGTTATTTTTTCCATCGATGTTTTCATTATTTCATATAAGTTGCGGGAAAAATCAAAATCACAAATATCATTGTCAATAACGATTAATGCAGATCACAAATTAGTCGAGTTCAAATATAAGTCACAGGAGAAATCAAAGTCACAAATATCAATATTAATCATAATTAATGCAGGTCGCAAATATCTATGTCATAAATTAGTTGTGTTCAAATAGCTGAATGTTAAGACCATATCGATGAATTAGGTCATAAAAATTTAACATATCACAGAAATGAAAAACAAGTCACAGATAAGACCTAACCCATTTCTACAAATTTCTGCGAAAAATTGCTAGTCACAAATACAAACACAAATCACATCTATTGCAGGTCACAGTTATTGAATTAATGCATATAAAACTAAATTTACAGAATTTTACAACATGAAATCATAAATGTGAAATTTTCTTTTTCAGATCACATGTAAAACTCTTATTGGTCATAGTCATTTTATATATTATTTTTCCATCATTTAGTTTCATATAAGTCACAAGAGAAATTCAAGTCACAAATATCAATATTAGTCACGATTAATGTAAGTCACAAATTTGAGATACAAATCACGTTGAATTAATGCATGTAACACTACATTGATTAAATTCCACATCATGGAATCATACAAGTTATGTTTTTTTATTACAATTCACATAAATAATCCTAATGAATATAGTGATTCTATACATTATCATCCATAAAATGGTTCAATATCCGTAATAAAATAACAATATAGATCACAGTGAATGCAAATAAAAAACATAAACTTTTGATTATAACACGTGATATTCCGACATCGGTGGGAGATTAAATTTTAATCCCAGACAGCGATGATGGAAGCTTCAAAACTGTTTCATAAATTCAGAAAATTGGAATTTGACAAGATCAAATGTTGATCAGCTACCAATTGTGACTATGATAGCATTTAGACCCGAATCGAAGCAATTGACATATGAATTAATACAAAAATTCTGAAACTTAATTAGCAACCATAAAAAATTATACCTAACTGGCTACCGTGACTTATATTCTATATTTTGTGATCCGATTTTTTCAATAATCATGAATATACCAGATTTCGGGGATGATAGATGCTATTATGATACAATTCTGTGACTATTAGCTTCTCGGTGATGAATTTGTCTTTCCAAGGAGGTGAAATTTGTATTTTAGGGAGCCCGATTTCATATGGTAAGTAGAAACTTGATTTCAGGGATTTGAATGTTAACATAACGAGTCCTCTATATATATATATATATATATATGATTTTTGAAATTACAAACCTCTCATCTAGGAAGTGAAATTGGGCATACTTTATATATGGGTTCTGAATTTTTCCCTTTATCTATACATTTTCTAAACCTTCTATTTCTTCAATATGTACATATTTGTGCAAAACTTCGAAAGTCAAAACTCTAAATCTAAATATCATTTATTAATTCATTTTCATAAATACCCAGATTACCATAAATTTATAATAGACGAAAATGTACTTTTGGAGTGAAACATATACGAGTTTAAAATAAGAACTTAAAAATCCTTATCTCAATTTGTCCATTACCAAAAGAAAAAAAAATTGAGGAAAATGTGTTTTTCTAGAAATTTAATCTTTGTATAGTCTCCATTTTTTAAAATTCATTTTTAATAATATATTTCATGGAACTTGAAATTTGTATCAGTTTTTCAATCATACATTTCATTTTCTTTTATTAAGATCAATTAAAATCAAAATTTTATCAAAACCAAACAAAAATTTAATGTCCTATAAAAAAAGTTTAAAAATAAACATTTATTCATTTTCTCACACTATCTAAAGTAGATTTTTTTTTTAAATTTATTATTATTATTATTTTATAAATCTAATAATCTAGCGTTATTTTTATGCCACTGGGTCAAATCAAATCATAGTATTTTCGTAGCAGGGGAATCTCAAATAATTCATTAGTAGGTTTCAGAAATATCTCCTCGTCTTTCCTCTTCCATTCATCTCTGATCATCGGAAAGGTATGACAGAGCAATGGACTTTTTGATCCAATTGAAATTAATTTTTTTTATCATTTTAATTATATTATTATAAATTTTCTTGTCCATAATTTGAATTATCCATATCCTTGCATAAAAACCCATATAAGAGTGAATACTCACTCTCTGTTTACTCCCAATGGGTTTTCGTATTTTTTTACTGAGATATGGGGTTTTCAGCACCTTATGTGAGATTTTGTTGGCCTAGGCAATCTGGGTGTGAAAGATTCAATCGTTTCTAGGGTCTGATTATTGAAATTATTTTTATCAATAGTTGATTACTTAGGAGTAGATTTTTGCGATTGGGTGATGGCTCGGTTGATTCTACCATGCAAAGCTTCGAGTCTGTCAAAGACCTGTCTCTTGGGTTTGGTCACCAGTGCTCCTGTGATTACCCAATCCCTTATTTAAGTTGTTTGCTAATGTAATTTTGAGAATATAATTTATCTCTGGAGAATTTTATTTTTCTCGAGTTCCTCGCTTTTTTTGCTATTGCTGGCTAACCTAGGAGATATGATTTTAGCTAATTTATTGTGATGTTATCACGTGTTATTAATTGTGAATTTTCTGTAAAAGTGGCGCATCTGTTTCCTTTTCAAATGTGTTTTCCTTTTATAGTATTCTCCTACATCGTTTTAATGTCTAATTTTGATGGCTTACATTGACATTTGCAGCTCCAGGCTAGTTGTCGTCTCGGTTTAGTTGGGCATTCAGCAAAGAATATCTGTAGATATAGGCAGTACTTCAGTTCAGAGGTTTGCACAATTTACATATCCTTCCTTCCGAAAGCCAGCTTTTGTTCCTGTCTGAAATTTCTCTGTCTGCTGTCCTACTAGGTTAACCATTGGAGGAATCGTCGGTTTCTGTATACTTCATTGCCAGTAAGCAGTTAAAATAATCTGAATGCTTATGAATGTTTCTACAATTATGTTGTTTTATTTACAAGTGTTTTTCAATATCTGTAGGGTGCTACAAGTGTCAGTCGGAGGTTAATCTGTTCGGTTGCAACAGAATCACTAGCAAAGCAAGTCGAAGATCCCAAAATGGATACACCAAAGGAAATCTTCTTGAAGGACTACAAGCAGCCGGATTACTTCTTTGATACTGTAAATATATATGCATAAATACTTGATTATATGTTCGGAAATATTCTTGCATTCCTGTATTTTTTAAAATTGCTCCTCACTAATGCAAGAAAGGGATTGTTTGTTAGGTGGATTTGAAGTTTTCGCTTGGTGAGGAGAAAACAATCGTTTGTTCCGAAATAGCAGTATATTCCAGAGTTGAAGGTAATGTAGTTTTTATTTTAGCTTGTTATAAAAATTAGATCTATTATAGAATTCCTATAGCATTAGATAATCTTATGTATTCTTCCAACATCAAATGTAAAAGGGCCTTCATCTATTATTCATGCATGCTATGTTTTGATACTTGAACTCAGTTTTCTAGGGGTTTTCAGCTAAACCCTTTTGCCATTACATCATGACTTCCATCCGTAATTTATTTTGAAATGAATTTCATCTATTTTATCTTATGAACAGGCTGTTCTGCTCCGCTGGTCTTGGATGGGGTGGATCTGAAGCTGATTACAATAAAGATCAACGGGAAGGAGCTTAAGGCAAGTACTATGTACACAATTTTAAATTTATGGTTAATTCACATAATTACTAAGTTGGTGCTTTACTGCTATTTTCATGCTTCTTGGCTAGTCAATTCTTATACATGTTCGTTTTTACCTTTTCACAAACTTACTGGCAGCTTGTTGTATTGGGACACCAATGGTCTGTGGAAGAATACAAATTTCTGCCTATGCTAACTTTTTGCAGACATCTTTATTTGATTCCTCATTCCTTGAAAAATATACAGGAGGAAGATTTTAGCTTAGACTCTCGTCACTTGATTGTTCGCTCACCTCCAAGTGGTAAATTTACCTTACAAATTGTGAATGAAATCTACCCACAGAAGAATACATCCTTAGAGGTAAATTTTACCTGCTTAATATTTTGACATTCCTTTTCACCCCTTCACTAGTATACTCAAAAACCTATGTAAAATGATGTCTATTTTTGTGTTCAGTGTTGAATTATCATTCCAGTTAGTTATTGGTAATAATCATTGCAGGGGCTCTACAAGTCATCTGGAAATTTCTGCACACAATGTGAAGCTGAGGGTTTTAGAAAAATTACATTCTATCAGGTACATTATTTGGATTATTTTGAAATTCGAGGCATTAAATTTTTTTCCTTTAATTTTTTGCTGCTGATATTCTTTTGCACTGTTAGGATCGTCCCGATGTTATGGCAAAGTATACTTGTCGTATTGAAGCTGACAAGTCATTATACCCTGTATTGTTATCTAATGGAAATCTTATTGAGCAAGGAGACTTGGAGGTGATCTTCCTTATTACTTAATGAGAATGACATTCGATGAGAATTCCTTTCGCATCAAGCTAACACTTTGTTGCATCACCTTAGGGAGGCAAACATTATACTCTTTGGGAGGATCCTTTCAAGAAGCCTTGCTATCTTTTTGCATTAGTTGCTGGACAGTTAGAGAGCAGAGATGATACATTTACAACGCGTTCAGGCCGTAAGGTCTCTCTTAGAATCTGGACCCCTGCACAAGATCTACCAAAGACAGCCCATGCAATGTACTCTCTGAAAGCAGCTATGAAATGGGATGAAGATGTCAGTCTCAACTTTTGACCCCTTTTGAAGTTTTCCCACGCATAATAAGAAACCCCTGAATTTTCTCTTTGTTACCATTTTTGACAGGTTTTTGGGCTTCAGTATGACCTGGATCTTTTTAATATTGTAGCTGTTCCGGATTTTAACATGTTAGTTTAATCCTCCTTTTGGCAGCTCATTTTCATGCTTTATGTGCATGTTTGGTACAGAGGGCTGTGGATAGGACAAGACATTACAATGAACAAGATTTTAGTTGCTTTTCTACATACTACTGTAGGGCAGTGTCCATTCTACCCTACCAAACACTACTTATATAGCTTTATCACATTACTAACGATGTTTGCTATTTCTGTTGATAGGGGAGCCATGGAAAACAAAAGTTTAAATGTATGCTGAGAAGCTTTGACACTATTTCTTGTGTTTTTTTATACCATCAAATCATTTCTTCTTGAATTGGATTATTTTGTTGGCAGATTTTTAATTCCAAACTTGTGTTGGCATCACCTGAAACTGCAACAGATGGAGATTATGCTGCAATTTTAGGTGTGATTGGGCATGAGGTGTGTCATCTTCACATGATTATTAAAATTGAATGTTTGCAAATTAAGTTACTTTAGCATCAAAGTAAAGTTTATTAATTTGCCTTTGATCTTGTCTCTGCATGCAGTACTTTCACAACTGGACGGGCAACAGGTTGGCCTAACTTCAATCCCATTCTGTTCTGAAGTTGTATAGTAAATTTGATTGGCTCCTTCAACTTTACTGTCTCCATCTGATTCCTGAAGATATTATCTTTGGTTTTCGTATTTTAAACGAGCAATTTAAAATAAGTTGAAACCCATTGCCCATGATCAGTGTGGATTTGGTAACCTTAAGTTTAATGAATTGAAATAGGATATGCTCTTTAGTTTTTATATATTTTAAATTGGGATTGACTGCCAACCTAATTGCAGAGTGACATGTCGGGATTGGTTTCAGCTCAGTTTGAAGGAAGGTCTCACTGTTTTCCGTGATCAGGTAGATCAACAGTTCCTAATTTGTAGACACTTGTGCATTTGCCTTATCTTAGCTCACAAAATTTGTTGACCATATTCTATTTCCAGGAATTTTCGTCTGATATGGGAAGCCGTACTGTGAAACGGATAGCTGATGTTTCAAAGCTTCGAACTTATCAATTTCCTCAGGTATGCATATAGTTGTATAAGTTTTGTCATGCTATTCTTTATAATGTGAATTTTAGATGAATATATTTCACCCCTGTTTGGTGGCTGGAAAAAATGATGTTTTGAATACTGTTCTTTTTTTTTTTTTTTTTTTGGGAGAATGTGTGGTTAAAAAGTATTGAAAAGTTTTGGATTTACATGTGTTAATGTGATTGAAAATGAGTATGAGAATTAAAGAGAGATGTTTTGAAGGGAGACAAACAGGGGTTTAAGGAGTTGTGCTATGACTTTTTACCTGTGATTTGACCTTAAATTGTTGCAAATACTGACTGTTGTTTCTTCCAATCTTCCAGGATGCTGGTCCCATGGCACATCCAGTTCGACCTCACTCTTATATCAAGGTCTGAAGTCCTCTATTTCTTAGAGCTCTTCCTATAGAATGAGGTTACTAAAGTTTTACTTCTTGTAAAATAGTTGTAACGTTGATTCATTTATCCTCTTGACAGATGGATAACTTCTATACAGGCAAGTTCCTTTCTATTTTTTCTAAAAGAATATTAATCTCAGTCAGTTTTTTGGGTCTTTTTATTGTCTCTGGATATTTGATTTTGGCTGTCCCTGCTACTGGTATGCTGGATTTGAGGGTGAACCTTGCTTGCTTCAAATTGCAGTAACGGTAAGGCACAGCAATTCCATCATTTAGTGTTTTTGACCTTTGCTGTAATTTGTTTTCTTGTGGAAGGGTTACTAATTTTTCTTATATACTGCTTGTTTACTTTTTTGTTTACAGGTGTACGAAAAGGTCTCTGCCCATCCTTCTCTGTTTATGTCTGTGTAATGTGTTTGTGAACGAGGGTTCCATTTTGTTTTCCTTTTTTTTTTTTGGTTTTGTCGTGGAAGCATGAGTGTTTTGCTGCTAATGTACTAGATCTCCTCAATGCATAATCGTTTCACTCATATGATCTCTTCAATCAGGGAGCTGAAGTTGTGAGAATGTACAAAACCTTGTTGGGGAGTGATGGATTTAGAAAAGTAAGTACAAACAATGTGGCCTAAATCTCTATGTAGTGAACGTATGTAGGTAGGATTTCTATCCAAATGCGGCTTGTTTCGTTTTAGGGAATGGACCTATATTTTGAGAGGCACGATGGGCAAGCTGTAACATGTGAAGACTTCTTTGCTGCCATGAGAGATGCAAACAGTGCCGATTTTTCTAATTTCTTGTTATGGTATGTTATCAACGTGCCTTTGAATTACCAGTTCTCTGTATTGATGGGTAATCTTTTTAATTAAATGAAAATGCAGGTATTCCCAAGCTGGGACTCCTCGTTTGAAGGTTGTTTCTTCCTATAACACTGAAGCTCGTACTTACTCTCTCAAGTTTAGGTACAAACGCCAAGGATTCTTGAATATTTTTGGTATGTAATTTTGTGGATAGTTCTAAATGACCCAAATCTAATTTTTTTGTTTTCCAGTCAAGAGGTCCCAGCCACCCCTGGACAACCTGTAAAAGAACCCATGTTCATTCCTGTATCTGTAGGACTGCTCGACTCCAATGGCAAGGACCTGCCCCTATCCTCTGTGTATCATGATGGACAGCAGGAGAGCATTATATGCAATGGTTAGCCAGTTCACACTACAATTCTCAGAGTAACAAAGGTCAGTTCCAAATAATAGTTTGACTGTCAACTTTTTAAACTCTTGTTCTTAGAACAGCACATTAATAAACTATATGATGACCTTTGGGTTGTTATAATGACTGACTTAAAGGTGTAAATGTTGGTTGATCTTTGCTGCATATATAATCTTTTAACATGAAATCTGCTCTTGATGTGAACCCGATACATATTAAAGAACAAGAGCACATTTTCCTAAGCTTAAAAACTATAAGTTTATTAGAGGTAAATAAGAATTTTTTAGAATAATATTTATAGGTCGATGATAATTAAATTGCTTATTTTGACAAAAAATAAGTGTTCTAAATAAGTAACTTTGTTTTTACTGATAAGTAAGAAATAAAGGACATATCCAAACATGTTAAAAAACACTTTCTTTTAAGCAGAAGGGAACTCTAAAAAGGTGCCAACCACATATTTGTAATCTTGTTACATGCATATTTCTCGTCTCTCATTGATTATTTACATTTTCTTATATATCATGGCGCTGTCAAATATAAATATGTTTTGCCTTTTTTTCCCAATTATTTTCATGCTAGATTTATCTAATGACAAATTAGAATTCTAGTGTAATTTTTTTTCTATTAAAGTTAGAGCATTAAATTTTATTCTGTAATTCTTTTTATAAATCTGGTATCCTTTCTAATAAGCAGAAAGAAGAAGAGTTTGTGTTCAATGACATACCAGAGCGTCCGGTACCATCTATACTGAGAGGTTATAGTGCTCCTGTCAGACTGGAGTCTGATCTCACTGAGGCTGATTTGTTTGTCCTCCTTGCTAATGATTCTGACGAGTTCAACCGGTATTTATTTCTTAAATGGGTTAAAAACAATGTTCATAGTCCAACTTATATTGTTGTATCATTTAGTTGCCAAACTCTCTTTTTTCCAAGTTGGTCATTAAACTTTTTGTTTAAGTTTAAACACTCCGTCTTTCTAAATTAACTGAAGCCCTTGTTTGATTTTGATTTTTCGAGAAGTGATTGTGAAAGTGAGTTTTTTGGAGAATGAGTGGTGAAAAAGTAAGGAACAGTTATGGGTCCACGTGCGAAATTATTTTATTGGAAGGATGTGTGGTTGAAAATAGTTTGAGGAAAAGGGATTTTAAAAAACTCAGAATCAAACAAGGGAGGAATGATAACATGGTTGGCAGAAATGACATGACATGAAAAATTCATTGTACATTATTTTTATCATCCAGCTAGGCAAAAAACGCATTGTTGGACTGTTGTGGTTCAAAATGCAATTTTATAAAGAAACAAAAAGGAGAAAAAAGAAAACACGACTTTTTGAACATATGCATATTTGCCTAGTTGGACTGTAAAAATAATTCAGTAATCATGCCACGTCATGATTTCCTTTAATTCAGCAGATGAACGTAGAGAGCGTGTAAACTGAAGAAAAATGAAAGTTCTATGACTTGGATTCTGTGACTAAAATGAAGGTTTTGGGTGACTTAATTGTTTTGAACCTTTTCTTAAATTGTTTGGGCATGATATCTGGTTGAGCATTAAGAGAATCTGAATATCCTTTTCAATACTTTAGTTGGGAGTCGGGGCAGGTCCTAGCACGAAAGCTGATGCTCAGCCTAGTCTCAGATTTCCAGCAAAACAAACCATTGGTTCTTAATCCACAGTTTGTGCATGGACTCAAAACTATACTCAGTGATTCAAGCTTGGATAAGGTATGTACATCTTCTACTTATCGTTCTTTCAAATGAAGAAAATAAAATGTATTGATCTTCTTTATTTGCTTGGAGTTATTCAGGAATTTATTGCAAAGGCATTTACTCTGCCTGGTGAAGGAGAAATCATGGACATGATGGAAGTTGCTGATCCTGATGCTGTTCATGCAGTCAGGACTTTCATCAGAAAGCAGCTTGCTTCTGAATTAAAACCAGAGTTTCTTGACACGGTATTAAGTCTATGACTGGTGCTTCGATTTTTCATAATCTGGGTGGACAGCTTCTCTTTTCATGGTATTCTTTGGTAATTTACCAACTTTTGTGCATTTCACAGGTGAAAAACAACAGGAGCTCTGAACAGTATGTGTTCAACCATCCAAATATGGCAAGGCGCGCCCTTAAAAATATTGCCCTTGGTCTGTGCTATCTAGTTTTTGAAATCATGGACATGATGGAAGTTGCTGATCCTGATGCTGTTCATGCAGTCAGGACTTTCATCAGAAAGCAGCTTGCTTCTGAATTAAAACCAGAGTTTCTTGACACGGTATTAAGTCTATGACTGGTGCTTCGATTTTTCATAATCTGGGTGGACAGCTTCTCTTTTCATGGTATTCTTTGGTAATTTACCAACTTTTGTGCATTTCACAGGTGAAAAACAACAGGAGCTCTGAACAGTATGTGTTCAACCATCCAAATATGGCAAGGCGCGCCCTTAAAAATATTGCCCTTGGTCTGTGCTATCTAGTTTTTTTGTATTTCTTCTGCTAAATTACCCTTTTTAGATCTTTGTTCATATTTGTATATTTGATTTTGTTATTATGCTTCCACTGTCTGTAGCATATCTTGGGTCACTTGAAGATGCAGAAATAACTGAGCTTGCACTGCACGAATACAGAACTGCCAAAAATTTGACTGAACAATTTGCGGCTCTTGTAGCTCTTGATCAGAACCCCGGCAAAACACGAGATGATGTTTTGGCCGATTTCTACAGCAAGTGGCAGCACGATTTCTTGGTATGCTTCTTTTACATTTGCCACAATCATCGTTTCATTGTATTCAGAGGATATTGGTGCATAGGTCCATTGACTCAGCCGCAGTGTGGAATTTAGTTTCTTGTCTGGTGGATCCCTTTTCTTTCCCTGAGAAGGAACTTCTACTTCTAATGATCTGTTGACCTATCGAGTTTTATTTTTGTTTAATATTTGTTTGAACCATTGCAATACACTAAGAAAGCTACATAAAAGTCAGGTGCTTGAAAATCTGTAATTATTATTGAAACCGCATTTTCAAAGCCACTTGTTTCCAAGGGTATAAATTCGTCCTTCAGTAGCCTTAGAGCACGTTTGGCTACGCTGAAACGGAAGTAAATGTCACTTTTAAGCTTCTTTTATACCAAACATAATTTTAAGTCATATTTTTTGCTAACAATACTTAATTTTCTAGAATGTTTTAACTTAATTTCAAGTACCTCTTATTGCCAAACATGCCATTAATTCGAAAGTTATTGCTCCTCTTAAGCACTCATTTACCTAGTGATTTGAAATGTAGAATTCTGTCACTTCCAAAGAAGTGCTTTTGTTCTAGTTCTAACCTACTTAAACGTGGAGGAATATTCTTTTGTGTTCTTCCATTCAAGTAGTTGTAGGGATCCAAAAAGCTTCAGAATTTTGTGTAACATAATTTTAATTCTCTCCTCTAGGTTGTAAATAAGTGGTTTGCTCTTCAAGCAATGTCTGATGTTCCTGGGAATGTTGAGCATGTTCAGAAACTCCTAAATCATCCTGCATTTGACATGCGTAATCCAAATAAGGTATATGAACTGTAAAATATATTCCTTGGGAAAAAGAATATTTAACTAGGTCTTATCGAACCTTTTATGGTGCAGGTGTACTCGTTGATCGGAGGATTTTGTGGATCTCCTGTTAACTTCCACGCCAAAGATGGCTCGGGCTACAAATTTTTGGGAGAAATGGTGGTGCAGCTGGACAAACTGAATCCTCAGGTTTTATTTAGGATGAAGTTTTTTCGGTTGATTACCTTCAGCTTTTCTTTTCCTTTTACCTAATGCTGTATATGAACGTTTGACAAAAACATATTTACAATGAATCATAGGTGGCCTCTCGCATGGTGTCAGCCTTCTCTAGATGGAAGCGTTTTGATGAAACCCGGCAAAATCTCGCCAAGGTAATATGATCTTTTCTTATTCAGAGATGACATTTTTATGGTTGTCATAAATGTTCTCTGCATATTTTAGTCATTCTCCGCTCTGTTATTTGAGAACTGCAAGTTCTATCTTGTATCAAGATTCACGTAAGATTTGATGAAGTTTTACTTTGCCTGTCGACTTACCACTACTCTCCCCCTTCACCCGAGTTTTGAACTGGCTGTGAAATATACAGGTGGTTAGGACATGTTTTTGTGTAGACATAAAGAGACTCCTGTTCCTAAGAGATGATTTTAGTAGAACAGGTTAGAAGTGGGAGGGGTAGGGGTAGGTCAAAACGATTATGGTGGTGGTGTTTGTAAAGGATTTAATTGCTTTAAAATTTCCAGTGAATCTTGCAATGAACCGAAACATTCCGGTAAATCTTGCAATGAACCGAAACATAGTGGCAAAAATGGATTCTGTGCTCGACCAGAAATTTTGGGAAAGGGCCTGGTTTATTGCTGTATATTCCATCTTGTAATGTGCATAACAGACGTCATTTAATACTGTGCTCGTTAATATTTAACAGGCTCAGCTGGAAATGATCTTGTCCGCCAATGGACTGTCGGAGAATGTGTACGAGATTGCATCAAAGAGCTTGGCTGCTTAAATTCTCAATTTTCGATATGGCCGAAAACTATTAATCTCGGATGAACTTGTTAGTAATAAAACTTCTAATTTTCGGATGTTTACTGAATATGCAATAACTATGTCAACTTCTCAATGTGTTAGAATTTCAGTAAGTTCACAAGTACACATGGTAAAACGCTTACCTGTTAAATGTCATCTTTAGTTCATTTTTCTGCAGTTCGTGTATGAAGGTAATCCTGCCCCTGGGCTTGAATCTTGACTATGGTACTGTTGGTTATAGCTTTGAAGTGGCATGCTAAACCCATACGTCTCAATTGATTTCCAGAGGTGTAAACCTCTCGCTCAAATCAAATAATCCAAAATCAAGGGCTGAGCTTGATTGAGTTGGACTGCATGATTATGCTAATCCAAAAGTGGAAATTATAAGAACGAAGTGTTTTCAAGATCACAATTCATAATTAAAAATTACAAGATTTTCTCTCAACAGTCAAGTAATAATAATAATAAACAAGTTCCCCCTACCCACCTCCATAACCCAAATTCAATTATTCCCCAAACCCTAAAATCATTCCACCCTATCCTCCCTCTTTGTTGTGCCACAGTCGGTAGTCGCTCTCCTCTTGCGCCACCGCTGCAAACCTTGAAATCATGACACCCTCTCACTCTCTCCATCTTTGATTTGGCTGTGCTGTGAGGTTGGTGTAGGGTTGGTCTCAAAAAGCCATCGTTTGAGAACGTCGTCTGACGGCACCATTGCCCAATTTGTTGATGCTGTTGCGCGTTGTCCCCCATTTCGACAGCCATGGTGATGTAGGTGATGGTGTTCAATGGTAGTGCAGGTGATGATAGTGTTTTGGCGATGGTGTAGATGGTAGTGCAGGCGATAGTCTCCGATGAAGGTATAGATGGTGGTTGTGGTGGTCACGTTGGTGCAGTTTGCTTGTTTGTTTGAGATGATGAAGGTGGTGGTGTTGATGTCAGCTGTCATGAGGAGGAGGTGGTGGTGGTGGCGGCGACGGCGGCGGTTGTGACGATGGTTTGTCGAAGAAGTATTCACAATTATTTGATTGATTGTGACCAATATCAATAAAAGTTCCAATTTCACTTTACTTACTTTTTAGGAGTCTTATATTTCGCACTTTACATTTTTCTATAACCTGAATGGGAAGATAGAAACGAGTAATGCATTTGTCACTTGATTGGGAAAGTGAAAATCTTGCTTATTGCACTACTTTGGGAAGTTTCTTCCCTTTCGTCCCAGGTGGTGGTGTGGGAATAAATAATATTGACAGCTGGTTGCTAAGATCCGACTTAACATGTTTGGTAAATTGTACTGTAATAGACATGTAAAGATTATAATAAAGGAGGAAACACAAGACAAACTGTTAAATGTTTAGTTTAACGTACCAAATAGAAAAGTATCCAATAACTTGAAATTATTAATTCATAATGTTACAATGTCTTGAAGTTATAAATATTATAATTCGTGATAACATGGCTGGCTTAAAAAAATGTGTTTATAAACAAATAAATAATTCTTTTATTTGTTGAAGTTGACGTGAGTAAATTCGATGGTGAAATTAAAGCTACTTTCAAAATAAATAATTTTGCTTAGAATAGAGGTAAGAAAAAAATAACTTATTGAAACAAAATTAAGCTTAAAAGTGATTCTTAAGATTTTTAATTTTTATGCTGATAAAAATGCAATTGAAATTAATTATGCCATCCAAGTAGGACTACTTTATAGCCTTAGTCCGCATGCACATAACCATGTCTTCCTCCTTGAAGGCTACTATACATTTTTCCCCAACATTAATATATTGTGGTTGCTGATGCATTTGCATCTATCTTTCTAGAAAAACTCTTTTAACCCCTTTTCCAATATCAATAAAAAATGTGTGACCACTAAATTTTTTAATTAATATCTGATTTTTGAAATTTTAAATATTATTTCTTAATTTTGAAATTGATTATACTTATTCTTTTAGATATGAAATTTTTCGATCCAAAATCAAGTGCCGTTATGGGCCTTTGTTGTTCTTGGGCCATTCTTGTCACATGATCTGCCAATGAAATACTCTAGATATTTAAGTTCTTGTTTGAGCCTCATTTTGAGAGGAAAAATGCATTTTTGAATAGTGATTTTTGGAATACGCGTGATTAAAAATGAAGAAAAAGGTTTTTGATTCACGTGTAATATAATTTTATTGAAAAATATGTGGTTAAAAATGAGTTTTGAAAAAATGAATTTTTGATAAAACGGGGCTCAAATCATTCTATGCATCGTTATAAAGTAGAAAAAATCATGTTCATCCCGATTACAAATCATCCTATGCATCGATATGATAATGTAGTGATGGAGAATAAAATTTCACACATTGGGGTCTTTATATAATGATCCAAAAACTATGTCTCAAAAGTCACAATCAATGAAATAGTATGTCTTAAAAAAATGTCTTGTTGAAAATATAATGTCCAAAATGACTATCTCTACAATGAAAAGATACGAGTTTTGAAGATGTTATGTCGAAAAAGACATGACTTTTCATCCAAATTAGTTGTAGAATATTTCATAATGTTCTACTTAATTTTTCAACCATTTTACGTATTCAAGCGACTTAAATTTGACATTAATTTTTTTATTCACTCAAATTTGATTTCAAGCAATTAAATTAATTAGGATAATCTACTCATTGAGTAGAACACATTCGATCTTCAGATCTCCATTCGACTCACAATTCCCGCTTAAATAATCAATCAAAAGTTGGTCAAAACAATCAATTTTGAACTAATTCCAACAAAACCAAGACATGCACAGCTTATTCCGGAATAAAATTCACGTCTATTTATCAGATACAATAATTTGTCTCATCTTGAATCTTTGATATTCAATTCAATTATACTTTAAGTAATTCTATTATTGAGTATAGAGAGTAAGAGCCTTCAATTTTGGTAGAAGTTTCCTACAAAATAATATGACTTGACCGAACTACCAATATAAATGCATTATATTTCCATAATATAAAAGTTAAGAATCCACAGGAAATGGAATGTGAGCGAATAATGCTACTCCAAAAGGGATTGCAAATGGGCACAGGATGTGACAAAGGCTTTTTTTTTTCAGACTGTCTAATCCCCTGTTTTTAATCCATGTAATTGAGCTTGTTTGTGTATCATGATTGATGTGAGCAACGCAGATTATTGGCCATTTTTTATTATCTCAGCTATCTACTTTCCCAACTTCCTCATTTATATTTAGACTAGTCATCGTCCATGCAATGCACCGGCAGGATTATCTTGAACGTCATATAAGCGTTTTTAATGTTGATACGAGTTTAGTGTTTAAAGAAGAAGCGAATTAATTATTTATAAAAATAATCATTTAAGGTAAGCTATTTGTGATATTAATTTTGAAATTGAATAATTCAATATAGTAATGACAATAATGACCGTTCAGCTTTGTGTAAAGAAAAACAGTAATTTTCACCAGTAAAAAAAATTGAAATAATTTTAAATCAAACAAATTTATATTGAAAAAATTTGGAATGGAAAAAAATTTCTCCTTTGAAGGAGAGAAAAGCAGTAATTGAAAAAAAAAATTAAGTTCAATCATAAAGATAAAAGAATTTAATCAATTTAAATAGAAAAAAATTATCTATAATACAAAAAAAAATTAAAAAAATTAATCAATAATTTTCACCAATAGAAAAATTGAAATAATTTTACATTGAACAAATTTATATTGAAAAAATTTTTAATGGAAAAAAAATTGTCCCTTGAAGAAAAGAAAAGTAGTAATTAAAAAAATTAAGTTCGATGAGAAAATAATTTAAAAATTTTAAATAGAAAAAAATTATTTACAATATAAACAAAAAATAAAATAAAATTTTCATCCAATGAATCTCCTTTCAAAAGGAGAGTTCAGAAGGAGTCTCCTTTTGAAAGGGAGAGAAAACATTTTGAAAGGAGAGACAATCTCTCCGGTCACGAAGAATATTTTTTTCCTTATTTTTTACTTAAATTTGTTTTGTTTATATTATAATTTTTTTTTGTTTTGGATATAAATTTTTTTAATTCTTTCCTCTTTATGATAAATTTTTTTTTCAATTTTAATTAAATAATATTAATATATTTTTTGTTTCATTTTTGTAACTTTAATTTGTTTAATTTTTTTGCTTAATTACATAATATTTTTTTTAAGTTTATTTCACAAAAATAAAAACTGCATACCTTAAATAAACTTTAAAAAACTAAAAAACGAAAATACAAAAAAAAATAAAATTGTAAAAACATACCCAAAGATAATTGTCATAAATTCTACGGTTTTCTTCCTTACGATTGAGATGAAGATTGCGCGATGTTTTTTTCCCACAGAAAGAAACAAGAATTCGGAGAGTTTTTTTTTTTATACATAAAAGCTGGACTTTTGGACAGAAATCAATTGAATTGAAGGAGGAAAAATGAGTGACTTGAAAGAGTGATAGATGGTAAATTACTTTATATTTTTTATAATATAATAAAAAAATTAAACCACTTTGACCAAACACATTTCAAATCAGTTGAATGTGAAAACGCACTTGACAAAATGATTCGTCCAGCTTTGTGCAAAAAAAAAAAAAAAAAGCAGTAATTTCCACTTTCACCAATAAAAAAAATTAATATTGAAAAATTTTTAAATAGAATAAAATTCTACTTTAACGAAGAGAAAAAAACAATTAAAAACTCTCATTTTGACTTTTCAAAAGGAGAGTTCCCTGATTTCTAGGAGTAAAACTCTCCGTTGGAGAGATCCTCTCCAATGAGGGGAAATTTTTTTCTTATTTATTTATTTTGTAATTTGTTTTGTTTATATTATAGATAACTGTTTTCTATTTAAAATTTTTATGAATTTTTTACTCTTTATTTATGATTGAGCTCAATCTTTTCAATTATTTTTTTCTTTTAGTGAAATCAGATTTTTTTTTCTATTTACAATTTTTTCAATATTATTTTATTTTATTTAAAAATTTTCAATTTTTTCTATTGGTGGAGGTGGAAATTATTGGTTTTTTTTTGGCACAAAACTGAATTGTTCGTTTTTATTACATGTGTTTTCACATTCAACTGGTTTGAAAATGAGTTTGGTTAAAATGGTTTGGTTTTTCTCACATTGATTTTCAAATTGAATAGGTTTGAGCCTTTGAATCTGACACACAATACTCTTTCTCCATTTTCTT